CTGTGAATGACTCAAAGGACTAAGACGTACTTCGCATACTTAACATCCTATTCTGATGGATACATAGCACAGAAATGATGCCTCTAAAAGAAGACATAACCCAGAGATCTGTTACAAAATCTAACCCCAAAGCAAAGATTATAAATGTTTTAGGAGGTAAGCTTTTCCTTTCAACTCGCTTCCTGATTTTAAGGACAGAAATATTCAGGCCTCCTTTCACAAACCTCTTTCCATAAAGGGTAAGAATCACAAATTGGAGAAATTCTCCAGGATAAATGAAGTTGAGACTCATTTAACTAAAACTGAATCAAAGCTTCATAGATTTAATATGTATTTTTCTGCGATTAAAAGACCTCACAGGAAAACAAACCAGTTAGACTGGTCTGTTTGTAGAGTTATTTAAATGGAAGAATGGATTTTCATAGCCTTGGGAAAATCTAGGTTTACAGGGCAAACTCTGCAGGGCTGAGCTCATCATGAAGACATGTTCCTTTTCATTGGCAAAAAGGGAAAGGAAGTGAGCCATGCCCTAAAAAATACCACTAGAGACATTCCAGCCGATACTTGATAAGGTCTGGGAATGCTGCCATCAACCCACGGCTGGAAGAAGGAAAATTTGGATCAGAGAGCAGCTGACCAGGAGAAACCATGTTAGGTATGGGAAAGATTTCCCATTAAACTACAAACTTTCAACAAGAGAGTCATTTAAACCAGTGGTTTTCAAATGGTTTTTTTGCTGTGACCCACAGTAAGAAATACATACATTATATCGTGACCCATAAATATACACAAACATACATACAAACTGAAACACACGTATTTGTAACTGAAACAATACTTAACCTTACTATGCACAAAGCACTATGATATCTTCAATTCTATTCTACTTTGTGTTCTAAACACACTGGTTGAGAAAAACAGTGTTTTAAATTCTGACCAGCACAGGAGATTCTGAGGATACATCTTATAATGGCCATGATTCCTCCCTCAGAGCCCCATTGCCAACTCAGGAAAACTGCAATGGAGCATCTGCTCTTGAGACAAGTAACTTGATCTTGAATACTTGGATAAAGGCCACCCAGAAGGCTGTCTCCTCCATGTCTGGCCATTCTTCACTATGCAGTCTCCTCCTCTTTCTGTACCTTAAATGATGGTTTGTTCCCCCCAACAGATGTGTTTGATCCTTTTATCACTCTGAGTCTGTTTCCATGGCTTTCCCTAACTGAAGGACAATTGCTCATATACCCTATTCACTCCAATTCTCAGTGCTCATCTACCTCTTATACATTTCCCACTGAATTGTCCCACAGATTTCAAACTCATTAGGTCCAAAATTGTATTTATAATCTCTCTTCCCTATCTCCTCACTCAAACCTATTTATTTTCCAGCTTTCCTTTTCTCAAAGAATGCTACCTTACTCATCTTTTCAGATTCAACTCAAATCCCTTCTTTAGGAAGCTTTTTCTGAACTCCTTAGATAGACTTGACACCTCCCACTTTTATACCTCCAGTACATTACAGCACCTCTAACACCCTTTATTGAACTTATTTCTTTTCATACTCATCTCTCCTCACTAGGTATGAGCTTCTAGATCTGGATTTTATTCATGCACGTACCAAGCATAAAGTATGGTGATAGTATAGAGTGGGCTCTCAATAAATGGTGACCCTTATTAGCTAGAGCAACTAGGACCCTAAGACCAGCATACACTAATTGCTCCATAAGTGTCTGCTGAATGAAAATATAACCAGTATGTTCTGCCATCTAAGGTCAGAGGACTGCTAAAGTATTAATACCAGTACCTTCCAGATTGTTAGGAAGCCCAAGATCTACTTCCGTATTGGCCTCTTTGTTAGTTTGCTAGGGCTGCCATAACAAAGTACCACAGATGGGGTGGCTTAAACAGTAGAAATTTATTTCCTCACAGTTCTGGAAGCTAGAAGTCCACAATCAAGTCAATGAAGCCAGTGCCATGAAGGGTTCCTGATACACAGATCCCTGAAAGAGCCTTGTTCCTGACCTTCCCAAGGCTTGATCGACTCTACCTGGTGGAGTCCTACCTGGTATCTTCCAATAAATGCCTTTTCCTTAAATTAGACAGTTTACTCTATAGCTCTTAAAGAATCTTGACATATAATGGCCCCTGCAAGTGAGGTGTGGTTAGTGGTGGACCTAAAATATGGAAATGAGAACAGGCAGCAAGGAGTCTCCTACCCACTGCAAAATAATTGTGCTCACAATCCTTGGTATGCCATTGCTAAGCAGCCAGTGATGCCACTTCCTCTTGTATTTGGGGATATAGTCCACAAGCCTCTCCAGGCTAAATCTTTAGGGAAGTTGGTAAGAAAACGTCAAAATACTGGAGTGTGTGGCCATCTTGGACAGCTTTTGGTAAGACCCTAGAAATGACTTAGCTACAGCCAAGGTGGCCTGTCTGAATGCAGAGAAAATTCTGTCTCACTAAGACTGGGCTTTCTCCTGGTAGGAATGCAAGGTGACAGCAAGTCAGATAATCATGAAAGACTATGAAATTTGAATTCTTGGCCCTGAGTCAATGATAATTCTAGAAAACACAGAAGAAGGGAAGGAAACACAGCAAAAGATAAGACTGGGACCAAGAGAATTGGGAGAGGCCTGATCCCCCACTTACCTCCTAATATATTCTCCTTCCCTAGTAAAGAGTGAATCACTGGGATAAAGCCACGGAATGAGGAACAAACTCAGAGGCAAAAAGAAGCAAAATTAAGAGCTGGAGCATGGGCAGAGCAGCAAAGCTTACTTCTAAGAGAGAAACCCCCAGACCAGTGCCCCAAGTCCAGGATCAACTCCCAGAGTGAAAAAGGCACATAGGCCAGCAGCTTGAGTTAAACTTCAATAAAGCCTTGGAAAATAAAAACCTGTCATTGCCCCAAAATCAATCTCCAGGTATCCTAAACCACAGCACCACCAGAATTTATACCCCTATTAGGAAAGTCCTACCCAAGGTGCTTCTCAAATGTGTCCATGGATTTTGTGAGGGAACAGAGAGCAGGTTCAATACTTAGCTAGGTAAGTAAGGTAGTGAAGTATATCAACTATTAATACTACGTATGTGTCTGACATTGAAGGGAAAACTCTAATCATGGAACAATAGTAGCTAAATACAATGACCTCTGTAACAATCAAGGCTATCACCAACCTAGCATTCACGTTAAAGTGTATCAGTGACTTTCTACAAAGACATGGGATCAAAAGATTCAGATGGAGACAACAGAAAAAAATAGGAAAAGATTAACTCTGGAAAACAGATTATGTGGTGGAGGTAAATGTAGGAAAAAATTACTGTCCTCGAGTTGTATTAAGAATGGCTTTGATTTACAAAGAGTCTAAATCAAATAAGAATATTTATCTCAAACCACCTACACCCTATCAGTTTATTCACCACGCTAACTGGGCAGTTGGTGACCCAATGAAGCCATTTCAAAAGGAGCTGCTGGGCCGGGCGTGGTGGCTCACGCCTGTAATCCTAGCACTCTGGGAGGCCAAGGCGGGCGGATTGTTCAAGCTCAGGAGTTCGAAACCAGCCTGAGCAAGAGCGAGACCCCGTCTCTACTAAAAATGGAAAGAAATTAATCAGACAACTAAAAATAATAGAAAAAATTAGCCGGGCATGGTGGCGCATGCCTGTAGTCCCAGCTACTCGGGAGGCTGAGACAGAAGGATTGCTTGAGCCCAGGAGTTTGAGGTTGCTGTGAGCTAGGATGACACCACGGCACTCTAGCCCAGGCAACACAGTGAGACTCTGTCTCAAAAAAAAAAAAAAAAAAAAAAGGAGCTGCTGGATAGAAACCTGAGGGCTGCATGCCTTCCTCCGTGAGAAGTGAGCTCCGCTGCTGCAGTGTACCAGGCTGAATCACGGTACCTACAGCGGTGGCTCCTAGAGTGATCCCTCTAGGAGCAGCACTGCTATGAGGCATCCTTTTCTCATACCCTCTGTGGAACTGTCTCCCACAAGTAATATAACCTACACTGCATTTCTATTAAATGGCACAGAATCACGAGGGAGCAGAGAAAAATTCCTAATTCCATGTGGCTGGGATCTGTCACTTACTTGCCAACAGAGAGAAAATGTAATTCCCCAGACCCAGTATACCCTCCCATCATTTTCATTAACCACCCTGAGAAAATAGCCTTAGAGCCCAACAGGAAGGAATATTTAGGTTCTGTGGGCAAAGGAAAGAACACAGCATAGGTGGGGCCATGATGAGCAAGGGCAAGCCTGGGATGATTCTGCTAGAGATATTTTAACACTGATGAACACTAGGCTTTCGTTGGCTTATTAAAATAGTGCTGTGTAGTGAGAGGGAAGCTGGCACATTTTCCCGTAGATGAGATGGCCCTGAGGGTTTGAACAACAGTTGGAATACAGCTGCCATGGCTACAACCAAGCAAGTACAGATGTCACACCAAAGTGGAAATAATTTCATACCATCCCATGGTGCTAAATTCAAAATGCCAAAGGAGAAAAAGTACTGGTGAAAGAGTTCTTTAAAATAGACTAGATAACTATTTTAAATACCAATTCTCTGTGTAATTAAAATTTTTGCTGCTGAGGTCCATGAGCAACAGTTATTACAGTTTAAAGAGCTCAATCAAAAATCTTACTGCTCAGCAAAAGGAAAACAATACAATAATGTGCTGTTCTCAGAGACTGGAACAGCCACGTCAAATTCAGTCACTAGACATTAGACTTCGTAATTCTAAATGTTTGGAAAATGTCCTTTTACAAAGCAACATTTTTCTTTTTTCTTCCTTCAATAGTTTTTTTCCTTATAAGTAGAGCTGCATATCATTTACTATGTTCCTAACTGACATGTTAGATAAGAAGATACACTAAAAGCACATGCCACCACATCACCGTACTCATCTCCTTTAGAAAGATAAACATGGAAAAGGGAACGTTACACACATATACACACACACACACACACACACACACACACACACACCCCAACTTACCAAATTCCTTCTTAGGTTCTATTAACTTCATGGTAAAGAGTTCCTGTTTTTTTAATTCCTTCAACTTCTTAGCAACCTCATAGTGACGCTGCCCAACAACACTTTCTCCATTTATAGATTCGATATGATCCCCCACACAAATGGTTTTAACTGAGTCAATAATGCCACCATCTTTAATTCTCTGAAAGAAAATTAATGACAACATAAAACAAAAAGAATTATATAACATCATTTTTCATGCTTTGGAGACATTATATACAATGTACTGACCTTCTAACAATGCAGTTTACTGCTCAGGTAGAGATGGAAGATGAAGCAACAAAGGACTGCCATCTTACCTCCACCCACTCTTCATCTTCCTTATCATTCAGAATTCAGCTCTGTCACAGTCAGCACCGCCTCTGGGAAGCTTTTCCTGACAATCCCCAACCCACTCCCCTCCCCCACAAAATGGGCAAGGTGCTATTCTCATGCTTCTACAGTACCTTTTGCTATATATGCTGAACCCTAAGCTAAGCACTTTTCATTCACTATTTCATTTAATTCTGACAAACTTTATGAGACTCTCATGTCATAGGTCAGGAAGACTGAGGCTTGGAAAGATCAAGTAAGCTGCCAGATTCAACATAGCACAGTGCAACTGTTCATTTACTCCTCAGTCTCCATTACTAAGCCTCAGTATCCTTGGGGACAGAGATGGTCTTATCACCATTGTTATGTCCTGTGCCTAGCACAATGTCTGCAAAGAAAAGTCCCTCATAAATGGTTGTTGAAACGTTTCAACATGAAGCCCATTACATAAGAATAGCCTGAGGTTTTTCAATTGGCTACATTTAGTTACAAATGCCAAGACTCAAAGAATGGTATGATCTTAGCTAGGAAGACCAGTACCTAATAAGAGACAAGTATGGTGACCATTTCGGAAGTCAGTAAGGGTGATTTTGTATGATTGTTTTTCATTTATGTATTTTAAATGAGGAGAACATAGGACCCAAGGAGAAACTTCAAGTCGTTCTTTCTTAAATCTATCTTACATCTCTATAATACATCTATAGTGTAGAGTCTTAAAATGAGATCTAAGATCCCCTAAGATGGCACCAAGAATTTCTGAAAGGATTTTCAGGAGACAGCTCCAGAAAACTCTACAGGGGTAACAGCCCTGCAAAGGATGGACATAATTCTTCCACAGTAATAAGGAGAAGGGCAAAATGAGGGCCACAACCTGCCTCAGGAGTCACATATCCATCATGGGAATGATAGGATAGAAATTTTAGGAGCTGCTTCTATTATGTAATAAAAGCATGTGTATTCCCCACCCTTGCCAGGTGGAAGTATAACATCTTCTGAATCAGCAGAGTGATTGATCATTGGGTCCAAGAGCGAAAAGACAACTGATCTCATGTACCCCCAGCACCTCCACAATATTATCATATTGGAAAAAAAGGAAAAAACAAAGCTGGAAAGGACTAGACTGGCAAGGTTGAGCATTTTTATTCTTTAAATTGTATTACTATATACCAAAACTCACAATAGATTCCTTTTTTACCCCCAAATTTTAAGAATATTGCTATGTTCATTGTGGCAAAGGTTACTTTGCAGCAAGGGTTAACATACTATATACAAATGATACAATAATGTCAAATTAAACAGAGCTCATTATTTATCATTACAAATAGTTAATTACAAAGAATCCAGAAATTTCATAATCTACTTGACATTGTTTTATTAGAAACCCACACTAGCCTTATATAGTGAACAGCAACAAACAATGGTAACCACAACACACCACTCAGTACAACTAGAGTTTCTAAACTGTTGTAGAAAAATAAACAAAATTAAACAAATGACTAGAGTCTAAAGAAGAAAAAAACACCATTAAATATTCTGTTACATAACCATTCCTAAGCCATTAGAGAATTTGAAAATCTATATTTAACTGACTTTTTTTATTTTTAGAATTTTTATTCTAACATTTCTTGGTACATCTTGTGCCTATTTTTTTTCATTTGATCAACTATGCCATATAAATTTCAGTGTCCCGCTACATATAATTTTTAGTTTTTAAAGACTTATTGTTATAATTTTATTAAAAATAAGCATTGTATAAAAATTAAGTGAAAGACTTTAAAGACACGTATGAATCTTACCAGTGAATTAAAGGTCAGAGTGACAGAAATCTAGGGTTGCCAAGTCCTATGAGTAGCCACAAAGGTCAGCAGAACAGTGCCCAGACAGAGGGAGGAAAGGCAGTTACCAGAAGTCAGAGCAGGCAGCAGGGTGACAATCTAGGTGGCCAAGAGAAAAGTCAAAGGGTATGTAATTACCACAAGCAGCACATAAGGATCTGGGATGAAGAGATAGGAAAACCAATATAAGAAATTTGGAGATGAAAATCAGAAGATGAATTAGATATAGAAGCAAAGTTGGAGACATCAATTACATATTTTATGGGTTACTCGAGCCTTCTAAGTGAGTAGAATCAAGAATGAGGTAGCAGTGGAAACAAGTTTCTGAAATCTAATTTACATTAATAATCATATAATAACTTGATAATTAATAATATTGGTAACAGTGCTACTCAGACCCAAAGGACTAAGAGGAAAAAAAGAGAAACATTAATTGTACACTTATATTTCCTGAGTAACTTACACTATTCTCCATAACCCTTAGGAACTTTCTCTCATCTAGCTTTGGAGTTTGATGCTGCAAAAGGCAGATAAGACTTTTTTTTTTTTTTTTGGAAAATAGGATTTACAACATTATTAAACACAGAGGTTTCCAAACATTTTAGATTATTATAATATCTTCCGTTATGTTCAGAGAATTCTGCCTTCTCATCACAGGTATCAGCAGAGCTCCAGGGTGGTATCCCACCCTCCCCAAAATCTTAAGCAGCAGGCTTAAGGTTGTTTGAGCTGCGTGTCCCACCGCCTCACTCAGCAGCTTTGAGATCTGTGCTGAATCCTTTCAATACTGTCCTCAAATCTTGCTCATAATAATAAACATTCATAAAATAATTATAAACAGTTATCTCATTTAGTCCTCACAATAAAACTAGGAAAGGAATATTTATTATCCCATTTAATGAATGAAGAAATCAAAGCACAATGATTACATGGCTTGGCCCAGATAATAACTAAAGAGAAATGGGTATCAAATAGAGCTGGTATAATTATAAAAATTAAAAATTTTTAAAAGAAAAAAATCAGATGTAGAATCCAAGGTTGTCTGACCACAAATGTTGAGTTTTGGATTATAAATGTCCAAAATGATCTATCACCTTTGAACTCTGAAATTTTTCTGACAAACCCTACCTTTTCACTTTTTATCTCCTTACTTCTACTAAAGCTGTTTCTCATCAGTATCATGGCCTCCAGATCTCACATATCACCTATTTTCTCAAATCATCACTTCTAATCTGGCTTTATAGGCCTCTGCTCCAACCTTAGCTTCCATCCTAGAATCCTCTATCACCTGGACCTCCTACATTTCCAGGCTTGCTGATTCTTAGTTTGGGCAATTGAATAAGCAAAATATTAGAAATATATGAATATCATATTTATCTGCATAATGATCACTCTAGAATGTGACAAATTTGGTTCCACTAAAGTAAAAGTATGCCAAATTATAAAGATCTATCAGAGGTATTCTGAGAATGACTGTTTTGAGGTTATTCACCAACTATTTCAATTGAAAATGAACTCAATTGTTTTTTTTTTTATGTAACCTCATTTCTTTTTTTTTTTTTTCAGCATATTATGGGGGTACAGATGTTTAGGTTACGTATGTTGCCCTTGCCTCCCCTCCCCCCCCTAAGTCCGAGTTTCAAATATGTCCATGCTTCAGGTCCTCATTTCTTTTTCTTTTTTTTTTTTTTGAGACAGAGTCTCACTCTGTCACCCTTTATAGAGTGCAGTGGCATCATTGTAGCTCACTGTAACCTCAAACTCCTGGCCTCAAGAGATCCTCTTGCCTCAGCCTCCCTCCCGAGTAGCAGGGACTACAGGCACGTACCACTATGCCCAGCTAATTTTTCTATTTTTAGTAGAGACGGGGTCTTCTCTTGCTTATGCTGGTCTCGAACTCCTGAGTTCAAGCAATCCTGACTCGGCCTCCCACACCCTGTCAACACAAAACATTTTAAAAAATTAGCCAGGCACAATGGTACATGCCTATAATCCCAGCTACTCAGGAGGCTGAGACAGGAGGATCACTTGAGCCCAAGAGGTTGAAGTTGCAGTCAGCTGTGATTAGGCCACTACACTCTAGCCTGGGTAACAGAAGGAGACCCTGTCTCAAGATAAATAAAAAATAAAATTACGAATGTTTGAGTCTGTTGTCTTTTCACCTGAAAAGTTTCATCTGTGAGAAAAATGCAGAACTATAAAATGCATATTTCTGCCATTGATCTCCCTCCTAATCATGTAATGATTATTGCCATCATGATTAAAGTATTAGCTATCAATTATGAGCATGTTCAGGCATTTTATATGTGTCATATTATATTTACACCCCAAATAACCCTATAAAGTAGGTGCTAATATTCTTATTTGAGAGAAAGCTCAGAAAGGTTTAATGCCTTGCCCAAGGTCACACAGCTGGTAAATAAGTGGTCTGGCCAACACTGAACACAACTCATGCTCCTACGCCTCACACTGCACCACCTCCCTAATCACAAAATCCTTCCCCTGGTCTGAATCCCCATCACACTGTCCTACTCTGACTTTCGTCTACTCTTATTGCCAGCCACTGTTAAAAGCATATCGAGTACTTACTGCAGCAGCACACACACTAAAATTGTAACCATACAGAGAAGATTAGCATGGTCCCTGCACAAATGATATGAAACTCATGAAACATTCCATTTTTTTCTGCTTATCTTGCCAAAAAGAAACACAGGAAGGATAAGATAGAAATTAATGAAATTGGTTACCTCTAAGGAGTAAGGGAAGGGAGTAATGGGCTAGAAAGGATAGGAGAAGGAGTGGCCCATCTCTGAAGATACCTTTAATATAGTTTTGACTTTTTGAATCATGTTAAGATATAACATATCCAGAAAATAAAATTAAATCAACATGGATGAGGAAAAAACTACAACAGAAGCAGATGGACTCAACAGTATTTCAAATGAATAACCATCACCCACAGCGGGGGTTAGAGGGCAGGTGCAAATCATTCAGT